CCACTGGAAAAGTAAAACATTGCAAGACACGCCGGCGAAGTTGTGTAGCAGTTTTTTTCTCGATTTGAACCAGAACAATGCAGGTCCTGTTTGTATTACGATTTTACCATCCCGCTAAAACGGATAAAATCAACCGTTTAATTCATGCCTCGTGTTCAAAAATGGCCGTAAAGATATGAGCAGGGTTGTCAAACAGCTGCTGCGTGTAATAAAATTGTTTCGAGCTACCACTGGCTGTATTCACTCTTTTCGGATCCCTAGTAAGGGAACGCTACGGATCATGTATCCAAAGTATCCGGTTTTGGATATGATCCAAAGAATTCACCTCCATTGTGGATCATTTGGATCAATAATCCGTTTTTGGATTTTAGTAAAGAAACGAAATATCCGGCCGTTTTTACATAAAAAATCCGGATTTGGATTTTCGTAAAGAAACGCACCCTTAATCTTATTGAATCCAATAACAAAATTTTGGTTACTGTTTGTGATCCTTAAATTCACTTCACAAGACTCTTAAAAGTTTATAATCCTTCTCTATTAAAACTATTTAATAGTAACTATGGAATTCAAGTGTTATGTTGGGAAGTATTTTGAAAGTTATTTTTTAAGACGGATATATCTTATCTTTGAAGTTTAGTTTTTGTTTCATTAAGTCTTGTTTTTGTCCACGTACTGTTTTCCGGTTTTGATCTTTTGTTTTTACTTGTACTTGAATTTATGCGTAGCTCGCGAATTTACTTATTGCCATATAAGGAATGTTATTCGCTTGGCCTTTCAGATGTTACTTTTTTACAGGTGGTCGTGTTTGTGGTGTTAGAGCTGTCCTAGGTTCTTTATTATAACGTAAGATAAAAGATATTCCTGGTGGGTGCATGAGGTGGTGTGGGTACTCAACCAAGCTTTGCACGGGTATGTTCCGCCCCAGGGTCCTAAAGAAGGTATTCGAGTTTTGAACAAAAAAAAGAGATTCTACATACTCTACACAAAAAGGTACCCCTTTCTTAAATAATAATTTTTGGTTTTTCTACCCTTGAAATAAAAAGGAACGATTTATCCCTTGATGAAGATCAATAACCCACCGTCAAACGCACGCACATCACAGTTATGTACTCAAAAAGAAGTAACTAAATGTACATGTACCACGTTGAAGATCATCTCCGTTGTGCCCGCAACTGCTTAAAAAAGGAATCTTTTTTTGTCTATTTTTTTTGTTTTTCTTTTTCTTTCAAAGCAGTTCAAATGTATGGAATTTCATGTATTGTTAAAACAGCTTCTTTTCCCATCTCTCGTCTCAACACCTCAAGATTAACCGCTAGGAACAAACCTAGACAAAGTTCTCAAAAATCAAGAGCTATGCAAGAATACATTACAGGATGCGTAGACTATTCTGACTGGCAAAGACTCGATCAGGTAGCGCAGATATAAGATTTGAGTGCAAATACCTGAAAAAAAGAACAGGAATAAATTCATTAATTATTTTAGATTTATTTATTATTACTGCTGACCAAATATTATCGTTTTCACCATTATAAGTCATGTTCTTTGATGGCTATCGGGAAATACTTTGAAAGAATCTTCTTTGTAAGTATTTAGCTTTGTCGTCCCTTTTATTTTCATTTTTTTTCGTTGTTGTTGTTGCTTATCTAATCGCATTAAGGTACTTCACGACAGTCACGATCATTCTAATAATATCTCTCTCTATCTCACCCATTTTGTTACCCATTTTTTGTTAATTGTAAGGTTTTTTTGGTAAGATATCTGTCGAGCCGCAGACCCAAACTTTATCCCAGACCACGAGCGTCGTTTCATTGTTTGGTAAGAACGGTTTCTATTAAGGTCTCGTGGTCTATAAAAGTCGCGCACGTTATGGGAAATACGCAAAACTGCAAGTGAACTGAAAAGAATACTGAGAGTTTGGAAAATGGAGAAGTGCGATAGTATTGATGCCATGGTGAGGAGAAATGAAATTATGCCCAGATGTAACTCCCTCTCACAAATCTTTAAAAATAATGATTACAGTCAAAACTTAGCAAAAAAAGACGCTGTTAAGACTTTTAAAAGAAGCCGCCATATAACATTTTGCAACATGAACATGCTTTCTCTATTCTAGTAATTATCTTCTTTTTCGTGTTCACCGGCTGCAAGGGGCCTGCCTTCCTTGGCAAACACTTCCTGTGACTCCCTTGCTTACGACTATTGCAAAGACATGTGTGCAATAGTCATAGAACCTAAGGTCAAAGAAATGTTATGTCATTTTAAACTAGGTGTTTACTTCTATCATTTTGTGAAAAAAACAACAACTAAAGTTTTCCGTGTGTGTATTTATTTCACTGCGTATTTGCGCGCGAGTTTGATTATTGAATTACAACAGATTCAGAGCACTGCATGCAGTTGACAGTTTAAACGTTAAACATCAATTACGATCAAAAAGAGTAAAGCAATTCTGTATCATATATACATTTCCAGACGATTTTTCCTTGTTTGCCAGTTGAAAATCGTGTTTTTCTTGCATGAATTAAAGCAAAGGAGTAGTGACGTCACTAGATGGCATTAACGGCCGGTCGTTTCAGACCTTACTGAGGAAGTAAAAACGACTCGGAGTAATCGTCTGAAATTCAGGCTATTATTTGAAGGTTTTGTCGAAAAAAAACTACTACCAACGTTGTGCTGCACCTCGGTCACTTTGAACTAGAGAGTCCAGACTAGAGTAGTTTCCTTTGCAGTTGTGTTGTTTCGTCACGTAGAGGAGGAGAATGGCTGTGAAAGGAGGATAAAACTAGAGCCATTGTCACTATGAAACAGTGCAATGTATCGAAGTGTATCAGTTATAAAAAAAAACTTACAGTACTTCAACATTTTCGAGTGATGAAAACACACTTTTTGCTAAATGCCCAATGTTGTTGGAGGACAAGTCGCTGCAAAAAATGAACCAGGATTAGCTAATATTTTTATCATATATATGGAAGAGATATTTCAGCTTTCATTTCTTTAATATTGAAGCTAAATGGAAGGAAAAGAGTCGAAGCAAAGGTCTAATATCACAGCAGGGAACCGAACTCGGGACCTCTTGCATAGAAGGCCTGTACTGTTTTAGGATCTATAAGGTGACCCTAAGTCAGACACTAAGCCAACTACACACAGTAAAGTTCACCATCATATGTTGTAGTCTCTCTGGTAACCAGTATGCCACAATCCCTCCTTTTCATTAGAAACAAACTTAACGAATCACAGGTAATAAAACAGCCAATGAAATAACATAATCTTATACTAAATACTATAAACTTACCATCTTACTTCTTTATAGGTATCAACATCAACAACGTCATGATCAGTGTTAACACTAATTTAGGGGGCCGACATTAACACCCTTACCAGAGAGGAGTTGGGCACACTTTCCGTAGGCTCCTGTGTTTGTGGGTGGGGATCGAGTTGTTTCGGACTTGAAATTTGATCAGGTAATTCTGAGACGTCACCTGTAACGCAATCGCTGCCAGGATTACTGTGGACTGCATAACAACCTGGTCACATTGACGAGCGGTAGCTATATAAGGTTCACTTTCGTGTGTTTTTTATTTTTGTTTTTGTCTTTTTACGCAATTGAATCGTTCTTTCGAATGGTTTCGCTTATCAGCACAATCATCCCCGGCAACTTTTTCCTTCCTTAATCTCTGTATCTGACATCTTGAAACACCACCTTCTTCTGATCCTCTTCCTTTGCTTCTTTAAGCTCGGGTAACTTACAGTTGTAAGAAAAACATCAAAGCCGCTGGAATGACTCCAGTAGTGGAATGGTAAGTTTTCCGATATGTATACATGGGCAAAACACCATGTAAAGTGTAGTGATGCATGGCACCTAACCCTCAAGGTAATTCTCTATCTCCTAGTACAAGGTTAGGACCATTATCCGTCCTCAGGCCATCGGTTACACCAAATCAAGCACTTACTATTTTGTCACATGTTGTACTACTTTCATCCCTTTTGGGTAATAATCTATTAATACTAACAAATCTCTCCCCTAGGTCCCAACAATAACAAGGCTAATTTTCTTGTCAATGCTCTGTCAAGTGGCCTAGTGGGTCAAATAGGCCCTTTGCACTAAGAGGTCATGTGACATCATTTTTATGAAAATGGAAGCTAGATGATTTTGCCTTCAAAAAACCATTGGTGGGTCATATCTGTGATTTAGTTTTTCAACCCGCACCATTTTCTTAAAATGAGTAAGTTTGTAGCTGATCACGTGACCAAAACGTGATTTTTAAAACTATGAATTACCTCTTTCTGAACAGAAATTTTGCCCTTAGACTTCAAGGAAATTGTTGAAAAGATGATGTGGTATTGTTTTCAGCACATCTGAGTGTAACTATCAAACGTTTAACAAGATACAAGCAAAAAAGAGTTTTGGCCGCCATGTTGGAGGGCAAGAGTATGCCCTCAAACATGGCGGCCAAAACAAATCATACCACTTTGTTTAAAAATCAAAGTGCCATAATATATCTCCCTTAAATGTGTTTCCTTTCAAATTTCGGGTGTAAGATAATTTTTATGCGCTCCGTCAATTTTTGACATCAGCAAGATTCCAACTCATTGTTTAAAGGAAGCATTGGTCACGTCACCTCTTAGTGGAAGTGGTCTATTGTTGGGGGTGAAACATGTTTGTTAACCTATTGGACTAACAGTCAAAGCACTCTCTGCATATCTTTTCATCGCGTCGATCGAGCCCTTCTGGCCTTAAAAGCTCTTTAGCCTTTGTTATGCCGTGAGTAGTATTGTAACCTGCCCCCTGGGGACATAATAAGTCCTAAGAGAAGAACAACTACTTATCTTGCAGTCACATTTCCCAAAATGCAACGCCCGCGTTTAAAAAGGACAAACTAACATTCCAAGCACGCACTTCAGTCCCAAAGTGACCCATCGCATCAGTTTGCTTTCCTCCATGCGCAAGGGGTTTCTTTGGGCAATGTTTATCATTCCCCTTTAAATTTAATCCCTTCAACTTGAAGAAATCTTTCTGTCCTATCAATTAACGCGCTGATCTCGGAATCAATCAACTCTTCCTGAACAATACCATCGGTACTCACATTCATTGTGGAATCGCCATACACGCCTTCTTGTGCGCCTCCATCACAAAAGCAAAGGTAAATGCTGGATCACTTTCCTAGCAACTGGTATGCTATTTCGTCCTCCCCCGAGTAACCGTCCGCTTGGTTTGTCCATCTTCCAGTTCCTTTTTGCCGTTGCCGGCCCTCCGTTTTTTGTTAGTTGTCTTTTAACCCTTTCCGACGGAGAATGATTTTCCTTTCTTACAAATGAAAACAGGTCTTCTCTTACTAATCAACTACCTTTTCCTTCTCTTTTTCCTCTCCTCCGATGGCGTTTATAACACTTCTTCCATCGTCATGCAATGCATCGTTGTTGGGACGCCTTTGAAGCTCATGCTTTATGGAGAATCTCACTAAGCTAAGATGATGATTTTTGTTTTCCAGCAATTTCTGTTTCAGCACCATATCGCCTAACTTCTCGATCGACTTGTCTCACAGATTTTCCTCTAACGCCGCACCAGAATTATAGTAGTATGAAAAACCAAGCTGTGGTTATTGTTTGTTTCATCGGTGCTCAGGAAGGCTTTAAATTTCCGGTTCATGTTGACAGACAGAACTCAAGTGTGTGGTTGAGATTGAATTTGCGCCATATAGGTGCTATTGCTTTAATTTGTGCACGCCTGCTTGCAATTCGGAAATGGGAATTCTTGTAATTTACGAGAAGACAAAAGGAAAGCAACATTATTTTGATGTGAAATAACTTACATAACTTGGGCGGTCGTTGGAGCACATTTCTTTAGAACGTAAGTGAGTGAAGTTATATTCTTGCACTTAAACATATTCCCATAAGATTCGGTCCATGACGAACTACAGTATGCCCTGCAATCTAACCAGAAAAACTGTTGAAAATTGAAAAAATAAATGTTTTCTTTATTATTATTTTATAACCGTTTTTACCGAACTAATGTTGTCATTCCAGTTGTGTCTACAACAGCAACTGCTTGTGATAGGGGAGAAAAGAGATCTTATAACGGCGAATACATCGTGACCACGGCTGCCAAACGTTCATTATTAAGATTAGTGGCTGGCTGAGTTAATCAAGTCAGTGAAAAAAGAGAATTCAAAGTAACTACATATACTCGGGTGTCAGAGCTAATACCTACCAATAAAAACGACCCGGAAATCAACTTTCGTGAGATCTCCATAATTATTAACCGCTAGACAGCTGTAGTTTCCTTCATCAAGCAATACAAATTCTAAGTCCTGGGTCTTTGTTTCAAGTATCGTTGAGTCCTTTATCAAAGTAATAAATATGGGAGGAGTTCCAGTCGCTGATATCCAAAAGTGAGCACCAGCAAATGCGCGAACAACAGGACCATGGTCTGCCAGAATTATCTTGGGCGGGGCTATGCAGAAGAATGGTTAATTAGAAGCTTGTTTTTTAAGTTCGTTAAAGCAGATTCTAACTCAACAAGAGTATCATTATCAACAAGCATTAAATCCGTTAGGTCACAGCAAATGAAGTGCAGGAGTTCCAATGTGGCATAAATGACCGGCAGTGCACAATATTAAAGCGAGCCATGTTTACGGCCTGACCTTTTAGGTGCCAGTGAGCGCCCACTCGGGATTTGGTTTCAGAGTGATCCGATTCTAAGGCCACGGTCAAACGTCGAACTTCACATGCGACGAACCCTGTAATAACGAGAAAGTTTTTGCTTATTACCATCTAGTTCGTCACACGTGAAGTTCGGTCGATGTTTGCATGGGCCTAGATGAACTACATCGTGCATTATGGTTACGTACTTGGCATAACGGCAGTAAACATGAGTACATATCCTCTTCTTTGGCGAGAACGATCCGAATGAAATCTTAACACTGCTTGCTTCCCACCTACAAATACTTCGCTTCCTGTGAGCAGTGCACAGTACTTCCCAATTTCATTGGAGTTCTCATCTGTAATCCGTAAATAGTCGTAGCTTAAAAGAAAAGAAAATAACACAATTTTTATGGAATACATTTAAAGTAGGCTACAAAGCGGGCGTAAGTTTCCTGGCGTTTTCAGGAGAGCAAATGCAGGTTTCTTTAAATCCAGTTTCAACCCACTGAGCTATTGTCAATATCGGAAAACTAGCAATAATCCTGGCCAATAAGATTTCAACATCTGCCATTGAGCCTTGCCTGTTTAACGAATTTTCAAGGAGCCGTGTGGTTCCACCTCCCCCATCCCCCCCACACACACACACACACACACACACACACACACACACACACACATACACACACATACACTCACACACACACAGGAGAGATTTCCTGGAAAATCATGATGTCGGTAAACTACAATTGAGTGTAACTTGCAAAAGTAAAGGTCCAAGCGTGCTAGAGTCTGAATGCTTTTATTTTCAGTGATTGATCAACAACTGACTAACAATTTTTCCAAGCCTCTGTCAGCAAAATTGAATTTTTATATACGTTTTTATATTTACCAGCCATCTTGAGGCGAAGGATTCTCTAGAAGAAAATCCTCAAAGATGATTTTAAGTGCCATGTCTTGTCGAATAGAAACCCTGTAAACACAGTCCATATTGCCTGGGTAATCCATTGGATAATTGGGACTTTTCAATGTGTTGTTAATAACCGAGCCACACCCTATCGAGGAAAACTATAGTAACTAGGATATCATGATTAATGGAAATATACTTCGACTGTAGAAAAGTATTGTGTTTGTGATAGGTCTTAATAATTTTAGTGCTAGGAAGATATAAAGAACGTACATAGTCTTTTTTAATATTTCTTTTATAAGCGGTACTTATTATAAATGTATATAGTCTGTGTGTCCCCTGTTAGCTGTAGAGTTTTCATTTCATTGCATTTCATTTCTTTTCTTTCCAGGCTTCACAGGCTATACATCGTTTTTTTGCTACAGCTCTGTTTCGTATGGCCTAAGGGCAAGCACACTCATCGGACAATTACTGGAATATCAATATTGCAGGCACTTCAACATAACGATGTAAAGTAGTATCTGGAAGCGTAGTAAAGAAGACAGACGGCAATTTGGTGCACCGAAAAAGTTTATAAGTTGTAACTTTTCATTAGCAGGATGCCTAAATGCGTGCACTCTTCCCGTACTATTCCCTATTTAATCCATGTAAATTTGTTAATATAGCAACGAAGTGGGCGAAAATGACGGCATGAAGTTAGCTATTTTTCTCCTCTTCTGATAGCACGGAATAAATACTAATAGCCGAAGTTCTTACCTATGATAACCACAGGAATAACTCTTGTGTCTGTTCCATAGTTGTTGGTGGCTACGCAATAGTAGTTTCCATCCTCATAAAATCTTGTGTATACGGAGTTACTTCTATTGAAAAGAACTGTAGAGTTCCACACTATTGCTGTGTATACCGGAGGAGTTCCTGTGGCTTCGCAAATTCTCATCCAGTGACCTGCGGCTGTGCGCACAACTGTGCCTGGAATTGGCAAAGTTATGCTTGGCAGGGCTAAAAAAGCCAAAAAATAAATGACAAAAAAATCAATAAAAAATCAATTTGTTTCAAACTACAATTGCTCACTGCAACTTGCATACTCTAAGATCTCTAAGTCTCTATAAGATCCTCCCGGCTCCTAAACTCAAAACACCTTCCAAGGGGCAACGATAAGTCCTTTTCCACATAAGAGAAAGAAAGCAAGAAAAGGCCACGTGGGCTTAAAGTACAAAAAAGACTCTCAACGCAAACATGTCAGGGTAAAGCAGCAGCCAAGTGTATTTTTCTTAGATACTTTATTGTATTATATTTTATATTATTATTAACTTTTGGCCTTTTTTATTTTTTATGGAATATTTTATGCCCTGTCTAATACACTTACAAGGTTGAACCGGTGTAAAGGACAGAAGAAATCCTCTCGCTTCAAAATAATCATCAGAATGGAACGTCAGTATCGCTTTGTTTCCACCTACACTGGTTTCCTTACCGGAATGCCAGCCACAGTATTTGCCAATTCCCACAGCCTGTTCATCTGCAATCTCCAGATAATCGAAGCTGCAAGAATTTTCACATTTTCTAAAGTTTAATTCGCTGGCTTCTTAAGCCCTACTTTCAAAGGATTTTTTTCATTTTTTTTTAAATCTAAGACATGAATTGATATGTGAAATGATATAATATGATACAGGTGTATATAGGATATTATCTAACTCGAGCATCAACAAAACGAAAACTACAGTAAGACTTATGGCTCCAAAAGTGAAGACAAGAAGGGAATGGTGCAAGAGGGAGGTGAACTTATTACCAGGTGAACGTGTAAGAGGAATAAAAGTTCTTTGTGCATAGGCAAGCCTTTAAGCGGAATTTCAAGATCACTCTACATGTATTTACCATTCTCTATTCCCAGGATTCTGTAGAAAAAAATCTTGAAAGACAATTTTCAAGGCCATGCCTCCTGGAATAGAAACCTTGTAAACACAGTCAATACTGCTAGGATAGTCCATTGGATAATAGGGACTTTTCAGAGTATTGTTAATAACAGAGCCACAACCTGCAAAAGAAGAAAAAACTTGGATTTCAATGCTACATTTGTAACAAATGTGTAGATTGAGGTACTCATTGGTAATTGAATGCAGATATTTTTACGGAATTTTAACTAGGTAAGAGGGGTCTATACTAGCAATAGCCCTTCCTTGCAACCCTAGAGCAAAACGAAAATGATTTTGCGAACCACATCAGTCGACATTTCAGGACATTAAACGCAGAAAAGCAACTGCCGGTAACCTGCTGGGTGAGATTTGGGATGTTCCAGCTCAGAACCACCTCGGATTATTCTTATTTATTTGTAAATCCTTACATGCACTGAGATATGAAGCATGAGAACAGTTTTATTAGAAGTCACTTGTTCAGTTAATGATTCGATTAAGGATAGGAGTTCTTACTTTTACTTGAACAAAAAGTTAATCAATTCAGGGCAAAAAATTCATTCCCTTTTTTTCATATATTGTAAATGTTAACGCAAGATTTCTTCTAGAAGCGGTTGAAGGTCCTGGGTGCAGCTTTCGCGGCTGTTTCATCTCCGTCGATCGCTAAAAATACTCCGTTTGAGTAGTTGAGGTGGGAAGAAATAGATTTTCTTCTTGCAGCTCAAGTCCTCACCGATGATAACAACAGGAATAACTCTTCTGTCCGTTCCGTAGTTGTTAGTTGCTACGCAATAGTAGTTTCCCTCTTCATACAATCGGGCGTCCACAGTGTTGGTTTTATTAGCCAGAACGGTAGCGTTCCATACTACTGCCGTGAATACGGGAGGGGTACCAGTCGCTGCACACACGCTTATTAAGCGACCTGAGAATGCCCGCAAAACGGTGCCTGGAATTGGCATAGTAATGTTTGGCAGGGCTGTAAAAGGCAAAAGATAATGAAATAGAAAACAAGACCATGAAAAAGTTGCAATTCAGTTTCACAATTGCATAGAAAAACATGCATAGGCCTTTAAATAAATTTACTCTTTTTATTTGACATCCTAAACCGAAATTTAAAACACCCCACCAACGATGTGTCCACTCCTCTACAAAACTTAAGAGGAACGAAAGTAAAAAGGTAGGCCATATGGGCTTTCAGTAGGAAAAAGACCTTGTCAACAATGCTAACCTTTGCCTGAAACTAAGGTGCAGCCAACTGTACTTTATGCCCTATTCAACATGAGAGTTTTAAAAAGGCTCTTGTTACACTTACAAGGTTGTACCGCTGTGAAGGACAGAAAAAATCCTCTTTCGCGTCCATTATAATCATCGGATCGGAAGGTCAAAATTGCTTCGGTTCCTCCTACATCAATACCTCTACCAGACTCCCAGCCACAGTATATATCAACTGTCACGTTGTTTTCATTTGCAATCTCCAGATAATCGTAGCTGCAAGGAGTGTCATATCTTAACTCTAGTTTATCAAACTTATAATTTACCTTAAGATTTTTACATGAGTAACTAAATTACCGAAGGATTATATTGAAATCTTCGTTTCTCAGATCCTGGCCCTTACCCGCGTCAATAGTGATTTGATGAGTTTTTTTAAGAAGTACATTTTCGTTCTACTGATCTACACTCTGATACCTGATCTCTGTGAAGAGTGGGCTGTCAATTGAACTTTCTGAGTGCTGCCGCCTAAATAGGAGGCAAACCAGCGCCGTGCCGTATCCTAAATTCGAAATATGGGCCTAAGCCTCCCAAAGCCTGTCTTACCCTTTTCTTAAAGAGTCCTAATTTTACGTCGGTAGCTTGAAATAGTCATCTGACTAACAAACCTGAGGGCGACGATGTGCTCATTTTACCCCATTTTACCCCTCATTTTTTTTTTACTTTCGGGAAAGCGATGTCCGCGCGTGCTATGCAACGTACGATAATGAGAGTGTAGCTTGAGGAATAAGAATTATGGTTAATGTGATGTTGTAGCTATTTGTCTTCCGCACATTGGTGTGAGTTGGGAACAAATTTTAAGTTTCCGACGGTGATAGTTTTAAAATACAGGCTCCATGCCAGAAAAGGGCAAGAAAGCTTCTCTTAAATCGTATATCTGTATCTCATAATTCTCTCTTTTCTTTAAAACTTTTCTCCCTTTTAGACTCTTATTTAATATGGGGTCAACCTCTTTAACTTCCTTTTCAGGGTGCTACTTTTGTATTTTTGTTCTCATGTTACTTTGAATGAAATATGTATCGGATATGTATGTAAAGAACGGGAAATATTTCCACAACGATGGAAAGGCACCATGCTCCAAAGAATAGCTGATGAGTCTGGTTACTTAGGGTAAAAGAATATCCAGGTAATCAATGACTAATTTTGAAGGAATCGGGTCTGCATGTAGCTACGGAAGACGTGTTCTACCTGGATTCACGGATCAAGTCGCGCACCTAAATTAAACTTGGAAATTGGCACATCAATTTTGGATGCACTGGAGCCACCTCTCCAGGCTTGTGGTAAATGATTATCAAGATAGGGGCGGGTAATGGCAATTTTTCTTATGAGAAAGGCACTAATCTCGTTTATCCTTATGCGGTGGCAAAACGGGTGTGCTGGTAGTCTTCAAGAGATTCTTGCTTACTTTCAATAGATGTTTGAGATCATTACTTTGCTAGTATTGAGATCATTATAATAGGTCTTGCCGAGCTTTGTTGTTTTTAAGAAAGCGCACATAGTTTCTCCTTCTTTTTCACAGAATGAGGTCAGACTGACATCTGAGAATTCTCCATTTTCTCTCTGCTTTTCTGCATTGATTTTTAGCTACGATGATATCATTCATATCAGTATTAATCCTAAAAACACGAGGTCGAAAGAAGATTTTCTTAGATGTGATTAGAGCTTGACGATTCCAAAAAGAGAAAATAAAGTTATCAACAGATCGACAGGTTTAGGTTTTCAGGTTAAGGGTTTCTCTCAGCGCATAACTTGTGTTTATCAGTCTAATGCCTACCATATTCCCCAACTGCTCTCTAAATCAAAGTAATCAAAGGTGATTTTCAGCGCCATGCCTTGCGGAATAGAAACCCTGTACACACAATCCACATCGGGTGGGTAGACATTTGGAAAACCAGGGCTTCTCAATGTATCGTTTACCACTGCACCACAACCTGTCAGAGGAAAGATATCACCAACTTAGGGCTACTGGATACCTTCAGGCGTGTGTTTCGTGCGAGTAATGTGGTGCGTTCCGGTTAAACTGCAGATACCTGAAACCCTACATCAAATTAAAGATCATTTGAGTGGTTATCCAACCTCGTTCCCAGGTCCTCTCCTACTGGTCTCTTTGCTGGCTATGAATAAACCAAAAGTCCAGTTTCGAATTCGTCGCGGTCGCTGGATAGACAAGCACTGAAGAGTCATTTATACAAGGTTAGCCTCGACCTAAAGTAATGTCACAGCCGACATTTCAATGTTATCTCTAGAACGGAACTCAGTTTCACCAGAGCGTTATTGTAGCAATTCTACACTACTCAGCAAATCTAGTTTTAGCTCTTCTGTGTCTTTCAAAACTCCGCAGCTGAAATCACAGGCGGCCCAGACATAGTATGTGTCTAATGAATATATTAATATTCACATGGAAAAAATAGGATGAGTCGTTGAAACTCCCATGAACTAAAATAGTCCAAAAGTCAAAATATAACAAAACAAAGTTGAGATACCTTTAACTGAACGTATCCTTGTCTTTCCTGGCCGGTTAAAGTGGCATTTTGTTGAGTTTTGCAACTTTAGGTACTATCCACTAAAGAAGAATTAAAGGCTGGCTACAAAACAAACGGACCATCTCCACGCGCCTTCACGCGAAGCGCTATAAATTTGAGAATAATCGACGAATCCGCTTCAAATTGCCATCGGCTAATCTGCAGGTAACGTGTGCTTCTTCTTCTTGCTCGCTAGCTCCACAAAACCCATCGCTACTGCACAATAATCGCTCGCTCATCAACAAACACTGTTGACCTTTAAGCTTCGATATGACCGCAAACTACCAGGTTTAATACGCGACGTGAATGTTCAAGCTTAGCGACCGCGTCCACGCGACAATGCAGCACTTGCTATGGGAGGGATGGTACTATTGCTTCTAGGTCAATCGACACTGAGCGAGGGTCCGCTGCGTTAGTTTTGGCCAGAAAACAAAGGCGATCGCGCGACCGTCCGTAAGTTTTCAACAGGGCGGCCCTGGTTTTCAAGTTCGAATTCTTCTGACGTTCGCTGTCACAGCTGCTGTCACATTATTCGTCCAGCCGCTTGCATAGGTTCTTGACTCTACTAGACCTATTTGCTTAGATTAATTAAATAAACAGTTCTTTCCAGAACTACGTCTTACTCAACAATATGTTGTCCAAACTGGTGAGGGAGGACGAGGATTTTCCGCCCAGGAAAAAGGCAAAATCTAGCCTCGGCTATGCAGCTGAATAGAAGATACAGCTGAAGATATGGTAAAGAAAAATTTATGTGCGTGATATCTTTTATTATTATTATTATTATTATTATTATTATTATTATTATTATTTTCAAAACTCCGGGGCACCCAACGACGGTTTCTCCCTAAATACCCTGAAAATACTTCTTCGGCTATCCAGAGTACTTTTAGATCTCTAGAAATGCATTCTCAACGGCGCTAGAAATTTTGCATCTGTTCTGTCATCCTAGGACAACCGAAGACTTTTCGAAATTATTAGGGCTTCAGTATTACTTTCCAGAAAATTTTAGATGTAATTTAACGTTTTACGAAAGCGACAATTTTTCTACTTCCTCCCTTCATCACATTTTTGAGTCCGAAAATTTTAGGTTTCCTTTTTCTACGAAAAATAGCCAAACCTGGGGAATGAAATGTGAAAAATTAAACTTCAGAAAATCGTCGGGAATTTGTTAGGAAAGCTTCGACAATTGTACACGAATGGAGCAGTCACCTAAAAATTTTTAGCCTTCCTCAAGTAATAGAAGCTCTTAGGCAATATTTGCTTCTCCGAAAAGATATTTTACAGAAAATAGTCATTGGATGCCCTTGACCAGAACTGTGAAAAACACTGAACAATAGGTCTAATTGCACCACACTTTCTTGTACATTTCCTTGCCGTTGATTAGCATGACTGCAACGTGAAACGTCCAGAAAACTTCCTGGTTTTCACTTGTGGTACATGTTCTTGTTCACTTTTTCCACTGCCGCTCATTTTTTTTTAGCTCCGCTCAACTCCGCTATAAAATTTTTATCTGTTCGGTGATCCTAGGGCAAATTGGATCTTTTTGAAAATTAAGAGGGCTTCAATATTATTTTCCCGATTGATTGACCTAGAAGCAATAGTACCATCCCTCCCATAGCAAGTGCTGCATTGTTGCGCGGACGCGGTCGCTAAGCTTGAACATTCACGTCGCGTATTAAACCTGGTAGTTTGCGGTCATATCGAAGCTTAAAGGTCAACAGTGTTTGTTGATGAGCGAGCGATTATTGTGCAGTAGCGATGGGTTTTGTGGAGCTAGCGAGCAAGAAGAAGAAGCACACGTTACCTGCAGATTAGCCGATGGCAATTTGAAGCGGATTCGTCGATTATTCTCAAATTTATAGCGCTTCGCGTGAAGGCGCGTGGAGATGGTCCGTTTGTTTTGTAGCCAGCCTTTAATTCTTCTTTAGTGGATAGTACCTAAAGTTGCAAAACTCAACAAAATGCCACTTTAACCGGCCAGGAAAGACAAGGATACGTTCAGTTAAAGGTATCTTAACTTTGTTTTGTTATATTTTGACTTTTGGACTATTTTAGTTCATAGGAGTTTCAACGACTCATCCTATTTTGTCCATGTGAATATTAATATATTCATTAGACACATACTACGTCTGGGCCGCCTGTGGTGACATGTGCACAAATATTGGAACATCTGACATGTAATTTCAATAGAACACGCGTACTTCTGTACGTGTCTCTTTGTTAGACGACGACTATTTTACAATTCAAAAGAACAACTGTTATGCTCTATTCATTCAGCTTGATTTACAACATGTGTTTTTCTAAAAGTCCAGGAACCGAAATAGGAAGTATTGTATTTTCAGCATAAAGGAAAAGACTTTTAACCAATCGAATTGTAACGCGTTGGTCAGCTAGAACGTGTACTTTTGAATAGGTTTTTGTGTTCTTTGTGATAATCGAACGCCTGTGTTTACTGTAGACTGTATAAGAGTAGTGCTTAAACTGTTGTAAATCGATTACCTAACCTGCAATTACCTAGCCTGCGATTACCTGCACGATTACCTACGATTACATGTGAAGTACTTTCTACGAGGTTTACTCTACAATAAAGAAGTTGCAGCATTACAGAAAAGTCTCAGTTCTTGTCCAACCTTCGTACCTTGAGACGTGGAAATTAAACCCTGTACCTCTGGCAGTAGTAACCAGTGCCAGCAGCGAGTCAGTCGCTCTACCGAATTGCAGTTTCCCCCGTCAATAACTTCCATTAGCAGATCACTATTTGCTAATTCTCGCGCCCTCGCGAAGAGCTTTAGTTCCGTTGTTTTTCTAATTCGACTTTCCCGCCAATTTGGTTTGACAGGCCGAAAAGCCGCTTGACACAGTGAAATTTCCTCTCGTTACAGTAATCATATTTACAAATTCCAGCCAGAAGAAGACCTGTGTACAGCTGTGTCTATTGTTTTAAACTCAAATTTAGCCATTTTCTCGCCGGTATTTGTGAATATGTTACTTTAGGTCGAGGCTAACCCTGTATGAATGAGTCTTCAGTGCTTCTATTCATCGGCCTTGACGAATTCGAAACTGGATCAGTTGACGTTAAAATAACGTGCCGGGACTTTGTTATTTTCGATTGCAAGGAATATTTACAGAACAAGTTGGAAATAGGGTTAAAGAAGTCGGACGATCATTAAATTATATGCGCCTAGGTAAAAAATTTTAAAGACACAAAGAAATCCCTGACATGTGTTTGTTCCTTACACATTGAAGAATCGATCATCCCTAAAAATTCTCGTTCAATCGTGCAAATTCTATTTGAGTTTTAGATTTTGAGAGCTGATTCGGAGGTTTCCATTAAAAAAAGTTAAACAAAAAAAAACGGAAAGTAGTTGTTTTATTAAAATAATAGCCAGTTCAATAAGCTTATAAACAAGGCTCTACCAGAGAAGACAGCTTAGTATTTTTCTCTGCAGTGTAGCAACTAAAATTTATAATGTTTCAAGTCCAATATTTTTAAAATGTAAATGTATGACTGTTCATATCAGGCTATGCAAATACAGGAAAAAAATTTCTACTGCTTTTATAAATTAACTTTCCCGAGAAAAAAAATGTTTGTTATGGCACTGATAAAAGGAGAAATTCTTATTTTATTATTTTCGCCAAAAACAAACAAACAAACAGAAAGAACGTTGGCAGGCGGTGAGACCGCAACAGCTGTGGCCAATTACAGCGGGCGCGGCCAGTCGCGAAGTCTTGTACAGGAAATCTTGCTCGCGTAATCAGTTCTTGTTTTGCAAAAATGATGCTTTCCAAAATACGGATTTTTCTTAAGCGAAAAAAATTGACACAGCATGTTTAAAATTTTCCAAGTTTGAGCAGACGAGGGAACGAACTTGTCGAGTTTTCAATTCAAAAACTTTTTCAAATTCGTGCTTGCGTAATTAGCGAGCGAAAATCAAAACATCTTGACGTCAAATCCATGTTTACATACTCTCATGCAAACACACCTTTTCGGCTAATTTTAATAAAGCTCGCGTACTATCTTATTAATATCTTATTTTAGAAAAACGTATGCATTTTGTATATATGTTGGTCAATAAAGAAATTTCAATCTCGCAAAAAGGCCTCTTTATCGAAGGTGATTTGCTAAAATCCCACGCATAATTCATAATCACCAGCTATTGTCGACCAAATTTGGAAGAATTTTTGCAATGTGTGAAAAATGACGTCAGCTGTGCAGCAAAATTGCTAGATTATTGAACAGTTAACCGAGAAGACCTGGGACGAGGTTGAGTTGTTTTTGTAGTGAGTACAAAATGGCGGAACATTTCATTCGTTTCACGAGGAAGAAATAGGCGAACTATTGGCTAAAAGCATAGCAATAACAGCAAGAAGATAACTCGACGGGCGACATCTCCTACTTGGAGAATATTTGCAGAACTGAACAATCCTTTATCTCCTAAACTTGGCAATAAAGATGCACTATCGAAGATGCACTCAACATTGATGGAGGTAAACATGTTTTAGCTTGTTTTTAAACTAGGAATTATTTTGAATGAATAATAACACAATTATTGAAATCGGCTTTCGTATCATCTGAAGAATTATGGAGATCTCGGAGGCTGTTATTCGCCTCGGTCGGAGATAACACCCTCCTCGATCTCCATAATTCTCCAGATGATACTCAACCTCATTCATTGTCAGTTATAATGTACCACAACAAAAAAGACTATATTGTTTGCGGCTTGCTCTGTTTGCTGCAAACAGTGTTTGACAATGAATCAACAAACTCAATTTTTTTTTTTTTTTTTTTTTTTTTTTTACATAGCGGTCTGCTATGTAACTGGCCACACAGCCGCTTTCACAATAGTTTCAATTCAGCATAAATTACAGACAAATAGAACGAGGCCCTACCCAGCAAAGATGAGAGCAAACATCCGCATCTTATGGTCAAGGGTGGGGGAGTGGGTAAAGAGAAGAAGGAGACGATTAACTGATTCTGTCGGTTTTGTTGAGTCCGTCATAAACCACGAGGAACAGATAGATCTCCAAGAGCGTTCCCAGAATGTTTAATATGATGCACCCCCTATTGAAATACCCAAGCCAGCATAATATTTCGGTTTAAATATTAACCAGGGGACAGCATAAAGTTTTTACTCTCTGTACAATTATATCTTTGTACCACCGACACTTATATCAGCTCTTTGACCTACCCACCTTGTGTGGCAATGACCATTCCATGGTTCAGCCACGTCATTGCGACATACCACAGAATAATATTCGTTGCACTGATGATAATTCCTTCGGTTGGCGATTTAAAATAAAACATCGGGCCTGAAAAAAAATAAAGAATAAATCAGTAATAATGCATTAATCAATTAATGAATTAAAAATAAGAAACGAGATATTAAAAATTAAAGAGCGACCACTTTTAATGTGAGTGTTCGTGTAATGGCTCCCGTTATCGGAATTGTCTTAGTGGGGACGGCCATGGCGTTTGCATGATCCTTTGCGGTATTTCTGCTATAAGGCTTGAGCAAGGTGTAAAACCTCCCACTTTGACAGTTATGACTGCGAAAATTAATGTTGCCTCGCCCTCTTTCCAGGGTGGCCTTAAACAATTGATCGCTCCTTCGCACGTGAACGTTTTTTAATTGCAAGGCTTGGTATCCTTTAGTAAAACATCGTCGGTGAATAAAAGTACATGTTATAGTGACATCTGCTGGTACAATTATCTCAACAACAAAGGGGTCAGGCATCAAGAAGCACTGCATTGTGTGGCTGCGGTCCCTGCATTCATAGTTTTTATATTGATTCCTATATCGGTATAAAACAAGGCCTTGAGACTGAACAAACTCGTATTTGGATAAGGATCGTATTTATAGTCGAATCCGTGAAAATGCCTTTAAAATAAAAGAAGTATTTTTTAATTATTACTTCCTTATCTCTACGCAATTTCATGTTACCTCCCTAATTAATTGAGAAGCCTTAGTTTTATCGGTAGATTTCTTTAAGAACCAAAGAAATAAATTAATAATACAACCGAAAAGAAGTGAAAGTGAAAGAAGCAAGAAGAAGGTACTGTTCTCGTCATATATTTTCTCCTTTTCTTTGATAGCGTATTGTTATTTTATTATCTATAATCTATATTTTAATATGGATTTTTGATTAGATCGAAGGATCTATCTAATTCACATTAAGTATTTTTAAATTTAAACATGATTCACATCTTTTTGGTGATATGTTACAAGAAGTTTCATGTCTTTCATAAAAGCGATTCTAGTTGGTCTCGTGATTAATCAAGGCAGAAAAATTTATAACGGAAAACATGAATGTTTGACCGAAGAAAATGTTACGGAGATGTTACGTGCTAGTAGACGTCATCATCTTTGTTTATGAAGTACCATGCATATTTTGGCATTATATTAATGTTGACGAAGTAGGTTAAATCACTGTCAAAAAATTATTACAAAGTGCGATGGCATTTTTACAAATTGCGACAGCTTAGTTTATTACAAAGTGCGATGGACTGTTATAACAAATTGCGACCTCTTTTTTATTACAAATTGCGACAGGTATTACAAAGTGCAATGGATTTTTTACAAAAGCGACAGGTATTACAAAGTGCGATGATTATTACGAATTGCGACAGTACACGTGGACATACGACGACGAATTTTCCTCCCTCTTTTTGAACCTGAATAAAATCCTTGAGAATTCAACTCCAGGAAAAGTCGCCTGCATTTGACATATTGAGCGGGTCCAAATAGACGCGATTAAGTTTGAAAGAACGCAAATTCATTTTTTACAGACGTTTTTACTGCCGTCGTCGTCGTCGTTTCTTAAGGTCTTTAACGTCTTGGTCTACAGCGTTCAAAGTGAGGCCGGAGATATTCTGTTCTAGTCTCTCCCTTGCCAATTGTATGGAAGTAAAAATGGAACTTTGAAAATTTGCTTTTTTGCAATCCTCATTGTCTTACCCAGCGTTTTGCTCAAAATATATGGATTCTCACGTACCTGTTTCGTTTTAAAGTAATTTGCGTTTTTCAAGACAAAAAATTCAGTTTAAGAGTACTTAAAGAGATCAAACTGCATCTACTCTTTCTAAAAGCATGCATTTTTCTTTGTTAAGAATTGTTTGAAAATGAGGCCCTAGTTTTAGCTTATAAAAAGATTATTCGACAAATATGATATCAGCTTTTCAAAAGTTCCAAGAGAGACATACCTGAAAAATATTTGCTCTTCTATATCTTTGTCTTGTTTCGACCAAAGCTTCCCATGAAACAATTTCATTTTCTCTCTTTTATTTCCTCTAAGGAAAAAAAACGAACATCCCGCTGTATATACTGTCCCCCGTATGGCCATTTTGTCTATCAATATTCGAAATATTTCTTGCTAATTTTAGCTAACGATCGTGACCTTTTTATTTGTCTATGACGAGGCTTCATTCACCATCTGGACCGTAAAAGCCCCCGCTGAGCATTCATTCAAGACAACGACTTCCTTTCAGGTTTTCAGAATCGGTAATTAAGTAACCTTACAGCTTTTACATTAAGGAATCAGAGCTCAAAACAAAACGACCTGAACGACCGTGAAATGTTGTGGTCAGCACATTATGGCAAGATTAAAACTTCTACGAAAGTACTCAGTTTAATTTCCATTGTACTATTTATGTCTTAAAATTTAAGAAAGAGAAAATTTAACTTTTTCATCATTTTTTTTTGTTTGGCCACTACAGATGTGAATATAAAAGGTTTAATGAGTCAACAGATATCACTTTGCTCAAGGGTGATTGTAAGGTCCAATCTTCGAAAAGCAGATTCTCGACGGCTAACAGTGTCAATTCTGTGGATCCTGTTGCACAAGTACAGTTGAAATGAAAGTTCACTCAGAAGACAAATTTCAAAACCCACTTCTTGCTTATTTAATTTTTGCAAACACTTGTGGCGACCCAGATTTAGCCTCAAGCGGAGCTCCACTCGCACGCGCTAGCGTAGCCCCATATATAAGAATTTTTGGTTACCTATCAATCCGAAAAAAATACTGGTAGTCACGTGACCGTACATTTGCCCACCCGACCGCCCGATCCACCCGTCTGTCCGCACCACAGGGAAACCAGTGTGAAATGTCATACTATCTAGCCGGCGTGTGAACCTGCAACATGATAATGTACATCCATTCTATGGTCAATTGACAGCTGTCAAAATAGGGTATCCGCTGGCAAGTATCACATCACTGTATCACTGTATCATGGACTCAGTTGTCCTCCCATTGAGGTTACGTGTTTTTCTGAAGCTCTCTAGTGACAAGTTGCTAGTTTTCGACTGGTCGCTGCCTCAATTTCAATTTTTTTCAACGGGAAATAGATCGACTTTTTCTTGATTACTGAGAAAGAAGAATTCCCTCCGCGAGCCGTTTCTTGATAGTCCCAGTAATTACTGCGTCCGGAAAGCTGTTTCATTATGGATCGAGGTTTTAATCACATTGAAAGTAATAAAACAAACCCATGGTTAGACAAAGCTTTTATGAGCTACAGGCCGCACTACTGGACTATCATGATCATTCTCCGCCACCTTTGATTTCAAATTATGACTTCGGGCGCAAAACTTTCACCAGTTTGCAGGCGAGGAAAGCAGTTGCAATAAACTTTGGCTTTGCTTAACATAATCACGCTTTGTCACCCTTGGTCGCTTTTTTTGCACATCTTTCGTCTAGAAAATTCAGTTAGTTTTTGTTTTCCCGCTATTAGATGCCAGACGGTCCAGGTGTTAAACATAATATTCACTGTTACTTTTGTTTTGAGCTCTAAAAATGTAAAAGCATTATCAAAAACAAAACAAGATGGCTTGATAATCGATTATGTAGACTTGAAAAGAGACTCACTGTCTTCAGTGAGGGCTCAGCGAGAGTACTCACAGTCAAGATGGTGTCTCCAAACAGTTCTTTTGTCCCTTACATAAAAATTTTAACGTAAATACAAATTATTCCAGCCTTTACGATTGTTAATCGAAACAAGTAAGGAATATTTCGATTATTGCTAGATAAAATGACAATATGTTATTAAACGCTGACAGCGGGATCTTTGTCTTTTTCTTCCGACGAAATGAGATAAAAGAAAATTACATTGTTATAATGAGAAAGTATGGTCGAAACAAAATGAAGATAAAGAACATCAGTTGTCTTTAAGGTACTGTATTTCTTTTTTTTTTTTTAGCTTTTGAACAACTACATGTAAAACTTGTTTAACTGATAATTTTATGATTCAAAGGGTCTTTTTAAAACAAAAACCAGGGGTCACTCTACAGCGACTGTAAACGAAAGAACAAGCTTTATTTTATGCAGACAATATTCTTTAGCTAAATGCTCTGTCTTTAAAACGGGAACTTCCACATACTATAAGCGTCCCCGGCTAAGGGAATGAGGATTACAAAAATGTTTCGACAAAAGTGTATTTGTTTAATTCCCAGGCAAGGAGCGAAACAGAAGCTAACATAGAACGTCTTTGGTTTCACTTAAAAAGTTACTGCCCGAAGCAAATCAAGTAAATTCTGTCATTCTGTCAAGTCCTCAAAGCAAGGTCTCAAATAAAAATATGCTAACACTTTTTATTTTCTCTACCAAATTCATTGAAAGTTATTTTTTCTTTTGCAATGCGTTGCTGCTTGTTGCGCCATCTGTTGTTGATGAACACATGTACCAGATGTCACCATTGCACATGCATTGATATTAAAATACTTTTCTTGCATGGCTTGCACTGCCTCTGTCAAAAGGCACTCTAAATCATGTAAATAGTGTAACTAGTACAAATAGTTTAATTCAGCGACGATGTTGTACTAAAGGATATTAAATGTGCCATTTTGCCATTGTATATTGAGCAGTGCAATTGAAGTACATACGTGCCGTATGGGGAGCCATGAAGTGTCCACCGCCACCTTGAGGAGAGTCAGAGGCAAGAATCGCCCCCGCAGTCAAAATTGTCAAGGTGTGAGGTTTCACGGCGTGCTCAAATTCAAGTAGAAAAAATGGCCCAAGACTGCTATGAAGAAATCATGCCCACCCCCTGCTAAGAATTCCGATTTTGTGGAACCATTTACGAACACTCCCAAACGTGGTCTTTTATTAATAATTTCATAGGTGACAAATTACTCCTTAATTTTGGCGCGAAATTTCAGCCTTAATTCATATTTTCACATATGAAATTACGAAATTGCCATGGCAGCGTCCATACTTCTCAGTGCCGAGATGGCGTCAAGGTTTTGAAATGTTATGAATGAAGATGTCAGAGCATTAAAAGACGCATTAAAAAAATGTAAACCAGGAAAGAGCATTTCAAGAAGGATTCTGTCAGGTATTTTGCTACCGGCCTAAGTTCCATATTTTTTTCTTATTGATACTGATGGTTCGCAAAGCGCCGAGAGAAAAACATAACCTCTGGTAACAGGAGCTACGAGTCTCATTTCCATGCATTTTTAGGAATTTGGAGCTGATGTGCATGTTTGTTTTCATTGACGCTGACAGCTGAGATTTGATTGTACTTGACTCTGCGTCTGCGATGCATGAAAAAAGAATTCCGCGAAGGCTTACTTAGAAAGGAAAGTGCTATTAAAAATTGTCACAAATTCTTTTCCAAAAAAATACACTTCAAGTTACAAGTATATAAAAAGGACAGAAGTCAGCTGAGAAGTAGACACTCTGTATGTTTTTAGAAGTCAACAGGACAAAACGCAAGTGATCATGAAATTATCCCCTAATTTTACGAGCATACCATTTGCTAACCTATTAACATGCTGGAAGACAAATCAGGGGCACCCAACGAGACTTGTTTTACTGTACCAGGTCAAACTTTAATATTGCCAGGCAAAACGGCTATGCCAAACAAAACATCATTCTGCTGCATTTTTAGCAAATAAACCGCGCTGCGAACTATCAGGAATTAGGAAAAAAAAGAACACCCTTTTGCACCCAGGGTACTATAATCCGTGAGAATGCAGAACTGAGCCCGACAAGACAAAGCAAAGCAGGAATCATCACATTCATTCAAAGTACGTCCTTTGGTAGGAAAAATTCAAGCAAAGCTTCTTCCTCGAGCAACGTTGATTCAGTTGTCGGATGTTCGCTTAAATTATTTCGAAGTTTAGCCAGAGATTGCTTAGCCACACTTCCAAAAGGAAACGGAAAGCCGAAATCCGGGATTATATTGTTTGTTATGAACATTGCAATTGCAACCGGTTTTTAATCTCGTGCGGTCGATGCAGCCAATTAAGTTCACTGTTACAGCGTTCATTCCCTGAGGACGTGGGAGTAACCAATAGGCGACCCAGTTGAGATTCTGAACCGATTTCTCGCGTGGAAATGAGGTTGCTTGTTTGTGTGACCAGAGGTCCGTCTCGGGAGCTTTATAAAACCGTAAGCACGGTTTTTATTTCACATTAGGTATTTTGAGAAAGGACCTCTAGAGCCGGGGTAGTATGTTGCCGAAAAATTCTGAAAATTCTGAGTTTAAACTTTTAAGTGCGTGGAGTTCTCGATCGATACAATAAATGGTAAACATGTCACAAACCGAAGATTGTGATCGTAAATTGTCAAGGCACCCAACGTCGATTTCCGGAAAATATCTGTTCGGAAGACGATTTGAGATCTAAAATTTTCGGAACACTTTTTGTAATTTTTCGTTCTTGCCTAACTCTCCTAGGGTTTTCGAACATCTAAGAAATGCGAACAGATGAAAAATTTTGGGGGAATAAAAATATGCCTATTGTTACCGTTTAAATACTAAAATGCGTTTAACAATGCTATGTTTAAATGGGTTTGAACTACATTCTCGTTAGGTGCCCCTGATTTGTGTTCCAGCTTGTTAATAGGTAACCAAATGGTATACTCGTAAAATTAGGGGATAATTTCATGATCACTTGCGTTTTGTCCAAATCCTTATAATTTCCCAACCCTTTATTAGAATTTGGACAGAGTGCGCGTGAAATTATTCCCTAATTTCACTCGTAAGAATTTAAGTACAAATACTCAATTTTTTTTCTTTTCTTTCTTCCTCAGACGCGATGTTTTATTTCAAACTTTCCGAAAGCAAAAGAATTAGCATCTACACCAAGAATGTTATCTTATGGTATTTCGCGATTACGTGGTTGAGCCATGGAACGGTCATTGCTACACGAGGTGAATAAATCAAAAAGCTAATATTGGTGTACTGATGGCAAAGAGTAATACAGTGCCTATTACTTTCAGTTTTCCAGTTAGATTAAATTTACGCTTTTTTCAATTACGCCCCAAAAAAAAAATTATTTTTCAGTTAATCTATGAGCACCAGGCTTCGCTCTGATAATGGGTCATTTTTCAAAGGCTGGGATTTCGTAATTAAAATACTGATATATACAAAATACGTACTTATATTAAAAAAACATTGAAAATAGTACAGTGTAGAAAATGAAAATAATGTTGTTGCTTGCATTTATATCTAATAAATACTCAGTAGACCATTTTTTTAGGGCACTGAAATATTTCATGTCTTTTCTGTGCAAGTTTGGGAGTTTTCCAAATACTTATCAACAACTTTCAAACTTTTTACAATTTACTGCTTTCAGGGAAATCGCTACAGCAGAAGTTCGTTACCAATAAAGGACATAAAGTACTAAGGTCCTTTTCAAGCGTTTTACATGTATGTCTGATATATGGTATAGCGTAGCTTCTTGGTCTAGTCAAAAATCAGAGACATGCTCAATGACGTTTTTTCTATACTGCAAGATCATATTGAAATATATTTTGCTATCTTCTTGGCCATCAGACACATTTTCGTCAACATTTCCTGAATATCCTTTACTCCAAGTGAGTTAGTGGTCTTCGACTTACTTCAGCTTTCCAAGCTTGATTTGCTAATGGTCCTGCTATATAGCATCTAGTGAGTTTGCCATAAATAACAAGAGAGGAAGGTTTCGTTTATGCGGGCGATAATGTTCTATTCATTTGTTAGCAGATTGTGGCTCAGTGGTAAATAATACTTTGAAAAGCCCTGGTTTACCAAATGACTATCCAAGCAACATGGATTGTGTATACAGGGTTTCCATTCCACCAGACATGGCGTTGAAAATCATCTTCCTTTACTTCCGTTTACAGTATCCCGGTTATGGAGGAAGATGGTAAGCATTTAACAATAATAAGCATTTAAGCAAAAATAAGAAAGCGCATCGCCAATTAGTACATCTAGAAACTCTGACAAGCAAATTTTCACTAATTTTATATAAATAATAACCAAGCGGGTAGCACTAGAACATTATTATCTTCCAAAAAAGCAACCTTCAAGGGGCTGTGTCACACTAACTGCTGTTTTTTTAAAAAAGCGATATCTTTTTTCGTATCAATCGACTTCCAAAAATAATAGTCCATTTTTGTTATTCAAGACCATATTCAGGCACTGAAATTGTTTCCCGTCGTCTGCTGTAATGGATTGAAAGAATGGACATGTTTTGGTTTTTCAAGTATTAATGCTATGCCTTTTAAAATCGCCAAAAAATATATATATTATGGTTAGTGCATTGTAATGAAATTTGTTTGATATCTGCCTCATAACTCTAAAGCGGCATTTTGTGTAACGGTAAAGGCACTAAGTAATGACTTCAGCACACAGTTGACCTAAAACAGCAATATCATCATGACATAGCTCCTTTAGCAATAGGTACACTTTGAAATGTTTTCACGGGCAAAAAATGTTAGAACCGAATGATCGCTGATCCCTTGCCGCACTAGTAAGAACGTAAGTAAGTAATCGGTTTAATAACAGCGTTTCTACTTTGTGGCTCTTCGTCTGTTACTTATAACTAAAAAAAATATAAAATATGTATCAAATATTTACAATAAAAATATACTATAAAAAAAATAGCGCAAAAAACGATTGAAAGGGAAAGTATCTGCAATGATCGTATGAACAAAACTTAAAATACAATTCAGTAAAGCTGGCCTCTGCCCGGCTCTTAAAGAATTTAAAAATGCGTGAACTAAATAGATTAAAATCGTCACATTTCTTAACATTATCAGGAACATTATTAAAAGGGCAGCCGTATTCTGGAAGGCTCCTTTTTCCAGAGGAAGTTGTAATCTTTTACAGCCCGAGGAGTGCAAACTTCTACATATAAAGACTCTCTCTAAGTTTAAATATGAAGGCCACTGCTTAGTGTGAAGCGCTTTAAAAGTCAACTTAAGCAAATTAAAGTCCCTTCCCTTCACTAGTGATCTTAAGCTTGAACTCACCGCTTTTGATCCCTGAAACCGCTGCTGTGATCCCTGTTCCCATCCCCCCGTTTATGCCATTGATCCCGACAGCACAAACCTCGTTTCTCCAGTAACGCATGTATGTATGGAAACGCCAAATTGCAATGTTGGCGGGTTTTAAGCGATGATTTGCCTGTCAGCAAATGCTGTGAATTCGTATAAAAGAAACCGAGGGATATTCCATATAATATTTTATACTATTATTTTCATTAATTGGAAACGACCTAACGGAAAACAAATTTTATTTCAACTGAGTCCAGAGATGAAACAACTATTCGTAGGGTATAGGAATCCTATCGAAAAAGCAACGGTTTTGGGACGATGGACCAGTGTGCAAGGCAAAAAACTAAATGGGATCAGAGGTGAAAAGATGTACAGGTAACTCTTTTCGATTCCCATCCAATTCCTATTAATCGCAAACCATTTTTCACCAAATGTTTGAATCCAGGCCGGATCATATCCTTAGAGTAACGAAGATTCCAATATAATCCTTAGCTCATAACGTTATTCATGCAAAAACTTCAATGAAATCCATAAGTTTGCTGAGCAGAGGTAACATACTGTATGATACTCCTTGCAGCAACGATTATCTGGAAATTGCAAATGAGAACAGCGTGGCAGTTGGTAAATACTGTGGTTGGCAGACCAGTAAAGTCATTTATATTGGTGGAAACGAAGCAGTATTGACATTCCACTCTGATAGTTCTTCTGAAACAAGAGGATTTTATCTCTTCCTCACATTAACTCAACCGTGTAAGTGTAACGATATGTCGACTTCACTATCTTTGATTCCACATGGGAAACAACTGTAAAGTAAAAATCCAATTCTTTCTTTGCGAAAAGACCTTTTGAAAATAAAGATACGTTGACTTTTGAGTAACAGCTGGAGTTAATTCCCCTTCTTGTTGGTACTTAGGCACACAAAAACTCAAAGACATAACCATATCGATCAACTCACTCGGAGATTCGCCGAGCCAAACGGCCAAACTCTTAAGTCCTCATTAGCCTAGCTTTCGCCCTACTAGATCCAAGACGACCGAGTGATCCGCCATATTTGCATTCTGTTTATGGAAGGAAAATTGTCACACAATTGTAGAATTAAATTGTCAATTCTCTTCAGTCTTGTGAATCATTGTCATCATCGTTATCGTTATAATTATCATTTTCATTATTATTATTATTATTATTATTAGAGAGGAGCAGCCAATATATCATTACATCGGAAAGTGGGCAAGCCAGAATTTAAGTAGTAACTTTTTATCAGTTTGAATTATTATTTTTAGATAGTTTTATTTTTTTATTAACTCTTTGATGCTTTTTACAATTGTTTGTTTATTCATGCCTTTTACAGCTCTGCCAAACATAAATATGCCGGTTCCAGGTACAGTTGTTCGCCCATTCTCAGGTCACTTAATAAGTATGTGTGCAGCAACAGGAACTCCCCCAGTATACGTAGCAATTGTGTTGAACTCTACAGTTCTGGCCAATAAAACCAATACTGTAGACATCAGATTGTATGAGAATGGAATCTACAATTGCGTGGCTAGTAACCACTATGGAACAGACACAAGAGTTATTCCCGTCGTTGTCACAGGTTAGAGAAAATAAGCAGTAAGGATAAATTACATTTATCATCTCTTAGTCTAGAGTGTAAGCAAACCTTTTTCAACAACAACGATTGATTACACATTCCAGTAGATACATTTGACAAAATCAAAGAATACAAATAAACAAAGGAAAAGATTTCACACAACCAGTGCTAGCATTGGCTAGTTGACGCGGAAGGTGGAATGGAGAACAAAATTTATGCATTTTCAACACTTAACCAGTAGAAAACGTTTTCCGTGTTTGCATAGACTGATACAGACATGAGAGGGGTTGGGGGAATTCGAGACAGTTATGCAAATCCGAGACGAAGTCGAGGGTTTGCAGAAGTGTCAAGAAAAGTTTTCTATTGCTTTTATGAAATAAATTTCCCGAGACTAAAAAACACAAAAATCTTTGTTATGGCACTGGCTTAAAGAGAAATTCACACCAGTCGCGAAGTCTTGTACACGACGTTTTGCCCGCGTAAGCATTTCTTATTTTGCAAAAGAGATGCTTTCAAAATTTCGATTTTTTCTCACTTACAATGTCAGTTTAAGCGAAAAAAAACTGACATATCATGTTTGTAAAGATTTTCCAAGTTTCAGCTGACGAGGGAATGGGTAAATAAAGTAATTCGTGCCTGCGTGATTAGCTAGCGGAAAGCAAACCATCTTAACGTCGCATCGATGTTTACATACTCTCATGCAAACACGACCCTCGGCCAATCATAGCGCGCGTACCATCTTGGTTATTAGTCTCGCTTGCGTAAGCAACGAGACTCATAATCTGCAACGCGTTTTTCGTCGTATTTTGTACACAAATGGGAGCTCATAGTGCCGGGCGTTCCTTGCGGAGACCGTGGAAACTGCATGGGACTAAGAATCATTGCGTGATCGAAGACACGCATGTTTTGCGAAGAAAGCTTAGGAAAGATTAAATTTAGAGCTTTTCCGAAACATGTCGGTCCACGAATTCTATCGCTTGAAAGCGTTGATTACATTGGAACAAGTGAAAACTACAGAGTAGTCGAAAAAAAATAAGAATCTGAATTAGCAAAACTGTGATGGTCGGGTGTTAAAGACTTTCACTGTATGCGAATGGGTCTTGTGATGAGCATGCGGTTTATTTTCGGCGATGATTAAATGACGTGCCATGTAAATCACTTTTTTGATCTCTTGCAATGATACAATTTCTCTGGAATCGAGGCCCTTGAATTTTCGTGTATTTATACGCGCGTATAGCCGGCGACAGCAGACGTATTTCCGGTCGTCGGTAACACGCGTACTAAATCAGTTCAGAAACAAATAAAAAGTATCGACGTCGACAAAGTAGGAAGTAAAAAACCTTCAGCGAGTAAATCCTGTTTTGTGTAGAATTAATCGCCTCCCGATTTCTCGATCTAATATCCAAGGAAGCAAGACTAACTGCCGCTGTAAGAGCGTCCTTGCTTTATAAAAACATACTCGTCTCCTTCTATCTCATTTTTCTTTCAGTCCAGACTTAGCCGAGACTGAAAAAAAAATAAGTCTCTACGACATATATTATTCTGATTATAGATCGCTCGAAGGATAGATAATTGTATTCGCGTGAAAATTGCGGCCAAAGGCTGAATTGCCCTAAGATTTATAATACCTGTATGTTGAAGGGAAGCAAGACTAAGAACTACTGTAAATCGAATTATTAATTGTAAAAGTGACTTAAACTAAACCTGTTCTCAGGCTTACATCAATCTTTCGGTTTTGTTATTTATCGATGCTCAAGCGTGAGATAAATCCCTCCTACCTGTCGTTTATTACATGAAGTAGTAATCAAGACACATTTCGTGTGAACTTACATCACGTGTAGGGGATAAAGGAGCACACTGCGGACTAGCTGTGTCTTTTCTTTCATGCTAGTTTCAGTTGTAGTTTCACAACCAGCAATCCCCTAATTTATGTATTAAGAGGATACAACACTACCAAATTCAAATATCAACACTTAGGAGCTGTTTACACTAAAGGGGAGGGAGATGCTAGCACGACGAAGATCCTACAACGTGGACCATCCTAGCGCCATATGTTTTTTGTATTCGGTTTACGTGAAAAGGGTTGTACTTATCCATGGCGCTGGGATCTTCCTAGCTGAGAGATCTTAGCACCGTGTAAACTGCCTTTGCTAAGAAGATCCTAGTACCAGGGACAAACCAGACAAAAATGGCGACGAGCCGTTCAGTCGATAATCACGGCAATAAAGGCCGACCATTTCGTTTAGCTTCACCATGAGTTTATTATTGTGATAATTCTGCTGAAAGGTGGTTATTACCGCCAGTAAAGAGAGCAAACGGACCGAAACTTCTGTATGCAAACCTAACGAAAAGTTGTTCCGCCTTCTAGGATGTTCCTCCCTCCATGTAAACAGCCCCTCAATGACCAAAGGCTACCTCAGACCAGACATTTGTTACAACTACAGCATTAACAGCTGAGTTTTCTTTTCTTTGACAGGATGTGGCTCTGTTACTAACAATACGCTAAAAAGTCCTTATTATCCGATGGACTATCCAGGCAGTGTTGACTGTGTTTACAGGGTTCCTATTCCAGGAGGCATGGCACTGAAAATTTTCTTTCAAGACTTTTTTCTAGAGAATCCCACTTCTTGGAGTAGATGGTAAATGCACATTAACGCCATCTTGAATTTAATATAAAGTTCACACCGTCAAAGGTCTATCTTTTTGCATCTGAAAACATCAATGGGCTACTTTCCCTCTCCATTCAAATTTATTCCCTTCTCGTCTACTAATTGTCGTTTTTTTACGCTCGTGTTAGATAGTATTCTATATCTATATATCTTGTCATATCATATCACATGCAGGTTAAATATCATAACTTACGTCATTTCATACATGTATAAGTGATTCCAAAACAATAGTGATAAAAAAAATTAAGGGGATCTATGAATTATAACATGTAACAATCCTTGCAGCTACGATTATCTGGAGATTGCAAATGAAAACAACGTGGCAATTGGTAAATACTGTGGCTGGCATTCCGGTAAGAATATCAGTATAGGAGGGAACGAAGCGATACTGACTTTCCACTCTGATAATTATAATGAAGCGAAAGGATTTCTTTTGTACTTCACACCTGTTCAACCTGGTAAGTGCAAGTATAGCCTTCTTTAAAATATCTTGTTATATTCCTAGACTTTCACTCAACTAAACAGGGACTGCTATTGGTTGATTCTTGGTCACGTGGCCTTGACTAAAATCAAATGTATCCCGATCGTGATACATTAAACAATGTATCCCGCTCGGGATACATTGCAGCACGTGATCAAAGCATGGTGGAAAGTGGTGTGACAGAAGGCGGGAAAAACACCACCAGGTCCAGCCAGTTTTCTTTTTCGTGAATGAACACAACAACACAAAAACGAAGCCTCAAGCTAAAAAGCAACTATTTTTAAAGTATCCCAGAAGTCCCCAGAAGAAAAACAGCAGCTAGTGGAGGAAAAAGATGCAGATAATATGAGGAAAGTACTTTTGTTTGTAAATCACTCATTCAGTGGTTTTGAGAATTAAATTTGTGTTGTTATGAGTACCGAGTCGTCTGTTTTGGTTCGCTCCGGTTATTCTTTTGTTGCTGTTGAAGTGAAAGTCTAGAAATATAACAAAACACTTAATGTCAGGTCCCTCGGGAAACCAGTTAGTTTTGTTTTCCCTCGAGTCCTGATGTTTCCCTCGACTTCGTCTCGGGAAACATCAGGACTCTTGGGAAAACAAAACTAACTGTTTCCCTCGGGATCTGACATTAAGTGTATAATGTTATACGGGACATAAAGTTTGGAAGAAAGCCGAAACTCTAATTTAAAATGAAAAATCAAATGATCTAAAGTATCCAGACTGTATCTCTCGCCCTCATATGTAACAGACTTATGCATGCTAACTTGTCGTGAACCATTTTACAATAGGGTAGTTACTTTTTGTTGTTGTCGTTGTTGTTATTGCTGTTCCTATTGTTGTTATACGGTTATCTGTTCATTTTTACCTCTTCTAGCTCTTCCAAACATAACTATGCCAATTCCAAGCACAGTTGTGCGAACAGTCGCAGGTCATTGGTTACTACGAATTTGTGAAGCAACAGGAACTCCTCCAGTATACACAGCAATAGTGTGGAACTCTACAGTTCTGTTTAATAAAACCAACACCGTGGACGCCCGTTTGTATGAAGAGGGAAACTATTACTGCGTAGCAACTAACAACTATGGAACAGACACAAGAGTTATTCCTGTGGTTATCATAGGTAAGAACTTTGGAGTTTTATTCTGTGCCATCAGAATAATTGTCAAATTTCCCCCGTGATTTGAGTTGCTCTCTGTTTGGTAGACTCTCACAAAGTTCTTTGTAATCGCGCGGTTCAGTTCAGTATTTTATCAAGTACAACGAAATATGTCTTTTCAGCTGTATGACTACTTTGGTTGGAGTAACTGTTGTTTACCACCCTGCTACTTCTCAGTTACTGCCAAATTGTTACCGCGTATTACTTTTAACAAGAGATCGAGACAAGCAAAGTCTATCCTTTTGATTAATAAACTGATAAACGTTTAGGGATCACATTAGGAAATACATGAGTTAGTAAAGGTACTGACGTAGGCTAGGAAAAATCACTAACCTTGGTTGGAGAGAGAAACTCTGGGCCATCAAGTTATCACTATAATAATTAGTTAGTGCAAATGTTAGCCTTTTTTGCAAGGCAGAAGTTTAGTAAAAGTAACTAAAGCGAGAGGAACAAGCTTAAGTAAGGGCGCAAATAAGGACTTTGTGACAAGCCTAAGAGAGCGTGTTAGACTACTTGTGACGTATGTCTGTCCGGCAGCCGGGGATGATAGTGAACCAAAAGTCGAAAGCAAGTTTCTCGCTGCCTATGAATTTCTGCAACATTTTGTGTGCATGAAATGCATTTATTGTTCATAGAACAACATTAATGAAATAATGTTCTACTATCAATATTTTCAGAGGCCACTCAGTTTTAGCTTCCATCAATTTCCATTTACTTCTAAGAGTCTGCTGGACACCTTTACATGCCTTACTAGGCCATTTCCGAGTTCCCCCGGGTCTCTTTATCAAAACGTGGTTAAGTGCCCGGCCTTTGATATTAAAACGATTATCATTCTACTGCAAACAAAATTTATTTTCACAAGAAAGGTCGTGCACTTGGCCTCATTTTGAAAGTGAGGGTTTTTGGAACTTGGAAGTGGCCTATTTCCCAAGGACTTAAGCCATCTGCTTTTTAATCTTTGCGTCTTGTTTTTTCTCAATAATGGTATCTGTGTGTTTGTACTTGATGCGACGACGAAAACGACTTCCACTTTATTTAACTTTTAACATGGACAAGTTAGGAAAAATGCGTCAACACTACTGGAAGGGAAGCCTTAAAATAAGTAAATTTTGCGAAGTTTGAAGGTGATTTGTTGAAAACTAACGAGGATATAGCCCCTCAAAGTCGCGAAATTTTACAGACGTTTGTGTTGTGGGGACACAAACTTGCCTCCACCATACAATGTCTGCAAATTTTCGCAGCTTTGCGGAGCTATAAAGTAAAACCCCGCGACTAAGAACCTGGACTTTAAGAACTCGTTAGGCTAAGATTTGCCAGTTAAGCCCACACTATATAAGAACTTGTTTAGCCTAAAATTTGAAACAGGATCTTACTTGCAAAAATACGTAAAAATTCTGTACACCTGGGATAGGTGCCTTACCACTCCAACTGCATTGTAACGCCCCGTGCAAACGGACGCATGGATGTTACATGTTGCGTGTTCTTGTTCCGTGATCGCCGAAGCATAGCGCAACAATGTTGGATCCACTGCCAACATGCACGCAACAACTCCCAACATTGTTGGCCCAACAATGTTTGGAGTTGTTCATTCCGTTTGGACGCAGCCTAATGGCATACAGATTTTATAGCAGAAACAAACTGAACCACTAAATAATCTTAGCTATGTTGTTTTTTTTTTCTTCTTCAGAAAATAAATCCTATTCTGTTTATCGCTGGATTTTATTGTTAGCAGTATCTTCTCTCGCTTAAGACTTAACACTTTCAAATTTGGCAATTTTAGTAATTGTAAGGCGCTTTCTTCATTGTTGTCGACGGATTTTCCATATCAAAAATGGAAAAAAATCGTGGAAGATGGAAACTGCTGAGATTACTGAATATTAGTACTAAAGTTTCAGAGAGTACTTTAGGTCGCTCCGTCGTAATGACTGTAATATTGATATCCCATTTGTGTTTCTTTAATAGGATGTGGCTCGGTTATCAATAACACACTGAAAAGTCCCAATTATCCAATGGATTACCTGGGCAAAATGGACTGCATTTACAATGTGACTATTCCGCAAAACATGGCACTGAAAATTTTCTTTGAAGATTTCCTTCTACAGAATCCTTCGGTGTATAATGATGAATGGTAAATAACTATAAGTTATATTTATAAAGTTTTGTTTTGGTCACAGAGACTGAGAAAAATTGTTGCTGTTGGTCAATCCAAGAAAAATTAACATGTACGCTTTAGAACTTCATCGCTTCGCTCCCCCACTTTTAAATTTTCCTGAAAACGTCGTCTCTTCAAATCCTGGCCAAAAACGTCGGAACAATTTTTAGTTCGTTCATTTGTAGTTCTAAAATTGGGAGCCAGAAATCAAACACTTTTTAAAAATTATTGCACAGGTTTTAGGTTTTCCACATCGTTCGGGAGGGAGTTGGGAAGAAATCATTCTAAGCTCGTATGTACAACATGTAAATATTCGGTTTCTTGCAAATCATACACCATCAAAAGGGAGAGACGAAAAGTGATGTAAATCCTATTTGCAAGGATTTTAGCTACCTTTTCGATAATGAGAGTTGAGTTTTTGAAATAGACACAACTTAAAGTTAAAATTTCAGAAGGGTATCAACTGAAAAAGGAAATACGCTGCTTGAATAGCCTGCCTTTACTGGCCTGTAAAACAAGCCGTTTCTAACAATTGTGAACGCTTTTTAATTATTCAGTTGGAAACAACAAAGGGTAGCTTACCGTAGATGTCCTATTAAACGCCCGCGGCGTCTATTTAATTTTAGGGGTCCAAGCGGAGGCGTTCAAAAAAGAGACTGGAAGACGTTTATTCTCATAACTGTAACAAGCTCAACAAAACTAATGTGCTTTCAGCAAAAGTATCAAGAGAGTTTAAAAGTATCAGAATGTCCACTCCATCAATTGATACGTCAAGGCCGTCCAGAGATTCATATCGCTCTTTTGATCCCAACATCGATGTCAGAATCCTCGCTCAGGGTTATTGTGTTGCCGTCATTAGTCTATCTTTACTTTGAACCTGTCATTGGACAAGATGAAATTTTTTATACGTAAAACCTTATTTTTCAAGCAAGAAACTGAATGAATTGAATGACTTCTCAATTTCGCCATTTCCTAATATTTTTTAGCAATTTTTAAGGGGGACGTCCATTAGACAGGGGGCGTGTATTAGAGAGGGGCGTCTAATTAACAATTATTCCTCTCGCCCTCATGGCCTCTGAGTCAATAAACTATTCGGCCTTCGGCCTCACGGGCTATTGACTCAGAGGCCATGAGGGCGAGAGGAATAATTGTTTTAGTAGAATCCAACTAGTTGGTAAAAAATGTCGCGACAAAACAGCTTCAGCTACTTAAAGCTAGTTAATCCTTTTTTGCCGCCAAAAAACCCTCGCTATTCGACACTAGTGGGCTGTAACATATAGCCTAGTAGTAGCTCAACCAATCAGAACGCAGCATTGATAATAGACCACTAGTTGGATTTTACTAATTAATTGTAAATGCGCAAGGGAGGCGTTTATTACATAAAAGGCGTATTCGAAAGTGGGAATTTATTAGGTCATTTACGGTATTTCATTTTAAGTGTTTCTTTGTTTGTTTGTTTGTTTGTTTGTTTTTTCCTTAAGCTACGACTATTTGAAAATTACGGATGAGAATTCCAATCAAATTGGGAAGTACTGTGGTACACAGTTCACTGGAAGGGAAGTATTTGTTGGAGGAAAGAAAGCTCTGTTAACATTTCACTCGGATAGTTATCTCCAGAGAAGAGGATTTCTCTTGAAGTTTAATACTATTCCGCCAAGTAAGTACGTTTGAAACCATCAGGCAGTTATCGTAGGGGAATGTGCTTCGTCAAGATCATCAACAACATTAACACAGGAACAACACTCTTGCATAGTGAATTAAAAGTAAATGTCACGCTGGTTAGCTCAGTTGGGAGAGCGCCGGTCTGCTGAGCGGGAGGGCACGGGATCGAACCCCGGCCGCACCAAAACTCAGGGTATTTAAATAACTGAGAAGAAAGTGCTGCCTTTGTAATGACATCTGCAAACGGTTAGACTTTCTAGTCCTCTCGGATAAGGACGAAAACCGTAGGTCCCTTCTCACAGCACTTACACTTATCTGGTTCTTGTGGGACGTAAAAGAACCCATACCACTGTTCGAAAAGAGTAGGGAACGTAGACCTCGGTGTTGTGGTCAACCTTCACACATCACATCATTCACATCATGGGCTAGGTGGGTACAGTAAGCTCACAAATGGACTGAGAGCGGCTGCCAGTAGTGCCTTTGTATGTCTTGCATGCTGACGCCCGAGCTTACTGTTCACATGTTAAAAAATGTATTGTAAGAGGACAAGTCTCTTGTCCTATCATCCACGACTCTTCATTCGTTCATTCAAAATAAACAAGAGGTCCTCAATGCGATACCATTAGTCGTAAAACAGCCTAAACAAAATCTTTTCACTCGGAACAAGGCGGAAAACTCATCTTGCCCACTCGGGTAGCCAATAAGGGCTCAACCTTCACCTCATCTTGTTCGCTCGATAAGCAAGCCATATTGAGTAATAAGTCACACTTTTGACTTTCCTAAGAAAAACTAGGAAAGGGGCCGGTCACGAAAACGAAGGTTCAAGTTTAGAGTCGGAGTCTGTCGTGTTTTCTTTCAGTTAGAAGACAAAACAAAGCATGAGTTGAACTAGAAACTGAATCCATAAAAGTAGGGCCGATGTTCTTTTAATTCTGAAAACAAAAATGCCAAATTGAATTTCCTGCACTTCTTTTGAACAATTTGTTATTTGGTTCATTTTGAGTATAAAAAACTTAATCCATTAACTCACTATAAAACTAGCTTCTTATTGACAATTTTTTTGCATAGCCTCTCCCAAAATAATTCTGCCAGACCGTGGTCCTGTTGTTGGCGCATTTGCTGGCGCTGACTTTTGGATATCAGCGACTGGAACGCCACCCGTATTCATGACATTGATAAAGGACTCAACAATACTTGAAAAAAATATGCAAACTATAAATCGTCGACTACTTGTTGAAGGAAACTACAGTTGTCTAGCAGTTAACAATTACGGAAATCTCACGAGGGTTGACTTCCAAGTCGTCTTTTTTGGTAGGTATTAGTTTTGACATATCATTTAGTATATGCTGTCACTTTCTCTCTTTGTTCAATTTAGTTTAAAAAATAATTACTTTCGCTCTGTATACGCGATTATAAGATATTTAACAATTATTGAATGAGGGTACGTAGGAAGTGAAGAATTATATCCAGTTCGTGGATAACAGTCTCCGCAAGTTCAGTATACGTTTTCACAACATACGAAAACTGAACTCAATAATTGTTCTATTGTTCATTCAATTTTGTTTCAAAAATTTTTCAAAAAATTTTTCGGTTTTGGAAAATAAACAAATATTTTCTCTTGTAGAGACTCCTCAAAAAATAGATAACATCCCATAATTATATGTTTTGCTTATTCTAGCATTTCTTCCGTTCAGTAATCACAAATTTAGCTGATTCGTCCTCGGATAGCCTCGAGCGCCAGTTTTTTTATTCACATTGCCTAAAAGTATCGCCTCGATGGCAAACTGACTTTGGCGTATTTAAACAAATGAGACAATACAATTAAAGGGTTTTGTTTATCGTTTGTTTCAAGATAGTCAGTTATGGATCTCCACGTTTCGACCGCGTACTGCAACTCTTCACCAGCGAAAGTATCAACTTAGGGCCTGGAGGTGTGGGACCCTAGGTAGGTGAGGTAACATGTGGCGGGTCACCCCACCTAACATGTAAACATGATCAATTTAAAATGAGAGATTATCTCAACAGGCGGATTAACCCACCTTAGTGAGTTACCTAGTCACCTACCTGGGGTCCCCCACCAACAGGCCCTTACTGAGTGGTACTAAATATACCAATATTACATTGTTGCTAGTCAAAAAATTGGTTTATCTCGAAACTCACTCATTTAGTGGAGGAAGAAACTGTTCCGGGCTCAGGGGTCCCTCGTGGTACCGACCGGCTGTTTTGTACTCTAATCTTAGGCATCCACGCTTTCGGAATCTCTATTCCACTGTCCCATGGCCTATTGTGTTGTAAGAGCGAAGTCTTATGTGAATGGCCTCTTTAACCCTACGAAAGTGCCAGTGAAGGTCTCGGTCAGTAAACTTAACCCCGTCTCAAGGGGGACAATGCCCAGTCTTATTGGCTGTTCAGAGACGGTTGACTTTTTAATTCGGGAAAGCCGTATATCCCTTTCATTAACTGTTAATGATCCATTCATCTATGCATCTTCCCGTTTACCCCATGTACATTTATTACTTTTTGCACTTAGATTGCAGGCCAAATTGTGCTCTGTCATGGTCCAGTGATTCAGGGAATGAATTTCGCTGCAAGAACATAACATCACTTACGCACATTCTTGAGAAATGTGCTCCCACGATCACTGAAAGAATGTAAGCAAGTTTTTGAAAACCACACAGTAATTTTTTACGACTTATTTCGAGATCCCGAGTTTGATTTTCAGGTGTGACCTAAAATCGTTGTTTGGACTTCTGTCCCTTTCCGTGTAGCTTTAAGTAGCCTTGAATACCCTTAAAACGGAGAAAGGAAGCAGGAGAGCGTTGATTAAAATGACCTTGCCATCGACCACGGGTTGCTAGTGATATGATGACTGCTACGAGTCACCAGCAAATTTAATAAAGATCATTTACCTTTAATTTTCCTCACGTTTAACTTGATTTCTATAATGTTTGACAGGTATTTACCTTCGCACGCTATTCCAGCACTGCACGGCAATGAGTTTACTAGATTAATATTTCTTAAATATCTGTAAGTAGAGAATCGTAGAGGATTCCTGTTTAAGTTACCACATTATATTTAGCAATTATTGAATGAGGCAGAGTAGGATTTGAAGAATTCTAACTAAGGGAAAGTTCAACAAAAAAAAAGAAGAAGAATGAACAAAAGTGCCGTGTTTTGGTTTGAGTTTTTCTCCAAACGTTTCGGGCCTGGCCCTTCATCAGTTACAAAGTACGTTGGAAACGCTTCAATGTTTGCATACGCCGTGAAAGAAAAAAAAACTTTGTGGTGCTCGCGTTCTGCACCCGGCCTAGAGGATATGGAAGTCGGAGTTTAAGCCGCGTGGATGACTGGTGCCAAGCTGAAAAATAAGGCGCATCTCCAGGCGCTTCCGTTGCACGTTTTCTCAGCAGAGCATAATTCCGCAAGATAGAGCGCCGTAGATCGAGTGACCAGCGTGTTAGTTAAAATGCTTCGCGAAAGGGAAACCAGGCAAGTTCTTTTCTTTGCTTCGAAGGTGCTCGTCAAAACGTTGTCTTAGTGTACGCCTTGTTTCGCCAAATTATTATTCCTTCGACCCAGATCTTGGCGACAGTCTTTCTACATTTACCTCCTTTCATTTCCCAGATTCTGAACTTTATCTGTAGAATGGTTTTGATTTTTATTTTGATCTATTTTGGATGGCGTGACACTGAAAACCAGCCATATGCTCAACAGTAGCTGGTTATGATGAATTATGCGATTGAATTTAGCCAATCAGAAACGGAGAAATATTTTGAATAAATAATAATAAAATATATATTAATGGGAGTTTACGTGGTAACCTATGGAACCACGCCTCTCTTCCGGTAGCTGACCCTAAGAGATGACGATTTCTTTCCATAAATAATTTAGCACCTCTACAATCGGAATGTTTGCTAATTTCGTCCTCTTGATGTCCATAGGAGAGGTTAGTGTATAATGGCAACGAAAATAATTTCAGAAAGAGCGCTTTAATTAAAAATCATCTCATGAAAGCTTGTTTCAAAAGGTCAAGATATTAGCCCATTCCTAGGGCCTGGAGATAGAATGAGGTAGAAGTCTTTTTGATGGACAGTGCCTTTCTTCTTACTATTATTATTATTATTTATTATTATTATTATTATCATTATTATTATCATCATCATCGTTATCATTATTATTATCATCATATTAATTAACTTTATACCATAATACAACATACTGGCCGAACCCATTCCTAGGGGCCTAGCCAGGGTTATAATGAGGAAGAAGTCTATTTGATGAAGACAGCCTTTCTTCTTCCTCTTCTTCTTCTACTTCTTGTTATTATTATTATTATTATTATTATTATTATTGAGAAATAATTACTAATTCTCTTTTATTTGTTTCAGAGACTTGTCTTCAAATGCCATTTAACATCATCATTATCATTATCATTATTTTCATTATAAACATCACGAGAAATAATTACCAATACTGGTTTATTTGTTTCAGAGACTTGTCTTCAAACGCCATTGAGCATTTACCGGAAGGTGTGTTCTCA